GAGTTCGGTCTAGACCTGCTCTATTTTGAAAAGCGTCCTGAGATAACTTCTGTTATGAATTGGCGCTATACAAATAAAATTGAATTGAATTGAACTCTTTCAGCAACACCCCTGCTCAGATTAACACCTGGACATTGATCCATAAAAAAGATTTTTCTATCTTCTGTAATCACAATTATGGTGTTTAGCTGATGCTCTTATCCAAAGTGATTTGCAATAAATGAGCAGGTAGCCATTCGGAGGCTTGACCCAGGACACTTTGACTGGATACTGATTATTGATGTACTGAACTGGTTGTTGTGAGAGTTCAAACGTATGCCAAGCTGGACACCCCTCCAGCTCTCTTATTGGAAATGCCATGCTTTAAAAGAGAGAGAAAATCAAGCCAGATAAATAGACAAAAAATGTCCAAAGTTTGGGATAATTTCAAGCAGAAGCAAAACGAAAACTCTGTACAGTGTGTGTTGTAAAATTTAACTAGCTGACCAAAATAGCAGGACGTCTGTGAAAATCTAGCTAGTTAGCAGCTACAAGTCACTGTTTAAACACAGAAAAAATCACAAGAGAAAACGCAATCAATCATCTGATTGTGTGTTGTTTGTAGCTCTGCAGCTATGAAACGGATTTTGGGAGGAGTTATTACACTATGAAAACAAAAACCTGACAAAAAAATATACAATATAATTAAGTGAACTGAAATGTACTAGTATATGCAAAGAAGAAGAAAAACAGTTGACCATTATTCATGTATCCATGCACTTCAAGGTTACACTAACACCACGCCTGCTGTAACAACATCATTTTCTCGCACTTTAATGTGAGCAAACCCCTCTGGAATAACAGCAACTCAAAACTGTTGCACATCAGTTTCATCTTTGAAGCTGTGAAAAGGGAGCAATTAGCACCCCCCCACACACACCCCCACACCCCTACCACCCTCTGTCTTCCCTCTTTAACATCACTTAACGCTCCTTGGAGTTAGTTTGTCTGTTGAGACCTGATTACTTCAAAAACAGGATGGTGAAGAGATATAGGGAGACGAGAGATGAGGGGACAGGAGGGAGATGGATAGAGGGTGGGCTAAAAAGATAGTGGACATGGACATCCCAATGCTGTAAGCAAGGCTTGGATCGAATAAGCAGTTGGCACCTTGCATTGCAGCCTCTGCCACCAGTGTATGACTGGGTGTGTGATTGTATTGTGAAGCACTTTGAGTGGTCAGTAGCCCAGAAAAGTGCTGTATAAATACAAACAAAAAATAATATGAATCAATGAAATTTCCTTCTGGCATCTAAAAACAGCAAATTAAATGCGTCATACATACCACACAGTGAAATAAGAAATGGTTTGCTAAGAATGCATTTCCTTTATCGCATTATTTCACTACAGCTACAGTAACACACATTCATCAGTGGGAGCCTTCACTGCTGACTACTGATCCACTAGACTACCTTCTGGTTAGGTGCCTTTCTCTAGTGCATCGTGATATTTGTTTTTTTAAAGCAGACAAAAGCATCTCCCTCCTCATCAGCACCGTGCCCGCCAATCACACGGGTTCAATTCCCAGACACAGAGGCGAGCTGCACAAACAATTGCAACCTATTCCTATCAGATTAGACAAAGCTGTTCCCAGCAGGACAATCAGCTTTGAGCACGGCGGATCGATCTGCTGCCGCGATGCCTCTGGGAATGCTGCATCCCTCTCTGCTCAATGCCCTCACAGGCATCAATTAGGTTTGATCTGATCTTATCTTACCTGCCTCAGTAACCTTTAGCCTGCCACCTCTGCTGAACTGTCCCAACGCCTCCAGACTAATGGCAGCATACGACTCCTTTCAGCAACAGTGGCTCTGTGATAGTCTAGCTGCTATTTTTGGCAATGACTTTGGCATTCTCCTTTCATGGAAAGCAAGGTCAGTGCTAACAGCTACAGAGATAATGATTTTGAGTGATCATCTGGGTGGTTTGCTTATTAATGTGGAGGTGGAAAACACATTAAGAGTAATTTCAATGTCCCCCAGATCTGTTCCATCATGTGTGCTGCACATCACTGACTAACTTTGCTGACGCTGATGCAATAAAGACAAAAGGACTATCAGTCTGCACAGGAGAGTGAGAGAAGCTCAGCATCATGGGACGTGGGTGATGATACTATGTTAGCTATCACTGCGCAGGAAATGTTTTTTTGCATTAAAAAAAATTTTTTTTTGTTCTTAAGATATTACTTTCAACGAGTAAATTCACTCAAATTACAGAAGAAAAAGAAAACACAAACATTCTCACTACCTCTACTGGTATCTAGCCATGCAGAGAATTATACCCAGTTTTATTTGAGTTTTCTGCTTGAATGGAATTTTATTTGAAGTGCTCTCAACATAGGCATATGTTCGGTACGTAGTTAGGGACATGTCAAACTGGAAAAGAAAGTAAAAGAGGGGGATATGGGAGATAAACTGCCCAGTAGACCTGCCAACCTGCTGTACTACACATGCCTGGGTAGAACACAGAGACAGCTTACTGTGAAGCCCGCCTAGCAAGGTCATCAATCAACCTATATTAAATCTAAATTTCAGGAATAAGGTGTTGACTAATGTGTGATCATTGCTCAGACATGTCATTTTGTCAAACAACTTTATTACTGTAAGCCAAAATGCCCCACAATTAGGACATAAGGTCCTTTTTTTAAGAATCATCATTCTTCTAGGAGGTAGAGCAGGTCGTCCAGTAATTAGAAGGTTGGGAGTTCAGTTCCAACGCTCCTCCCACTGCATGTTGAAGTGTCCTTGAGCAAGATACTGAACCCCAAATTGCTCCTGATTCTGTGCATCAGTGTATGAATGTGTGTGAATGAGTTAGTTCAGTTTAAACCAGGGGTAGATCTAGAGAAATATTCATGGGGTGTCCAGAGGGTGGCATGGAGACCTTTTTTGTTTTTTTTTTAGCTCAAAAACATCATATTATTGTGGCACATCATTAAAGCACTAAATAGAAATACCTAAAGTTGGCATTAGAAGTCAATA